AAAGTATGGTATATGCTTGGTATGTAATGTTAGAACAAATCAAACAGCAAGAGGGAGAGGTACAGAGGGGAAGAACTGGCTTAAAGGCACCATGAGTCCTGATTAACAGTGTCTGGCAGATCTCAACAGTGGTTATGATAATCATATTGAACCCCCAAGCAAAATGAACAGATTTATAAATTAGAAAATGAATTCCTTGCTGTTTAAATCACACTGCAAAGGGATTTCAATTTTCTATTCAGCTTATGTCAGCTGAACTGTTTTTCTCTTGTAAGACTGCATGCACACAGTTACCTGATTTATCTATAATTGCATCTATTTCTTCAACAACATCAAAATAGGCTTCATTGTTGGTATACTTCACTCCTGCCCGGCGCCAGGGGATGTTGGACAGCTGCCCAGTGGGAAGCGTGTCCCCTACATTACTACTGCCTAGAATTGGGAAAGAAGAAAGCAGAGGTGAAAAACACTCATCAAAAATGCTGTTGTCAAAAGAAAGAATCATTTAGATGCTTCTTCAATGTTTAGAGTTGTCTTTATTACACTGGTACATAGTCTCTGGAATTGTCGGAGACATATCCAAACCAACATGGTCAGTATTGTAGAAGACAGAAGCAGGCTATGTGGCCCTCTGTGTGCCTGTCACACCAGGATAAGTATGTTTTACTTATCTTTTGCTTCCAGCCTGTTAGCAGTAAGCTAAGCTAATTCTCCTGGTTTAACCACAAAATCTCATCCTGCTGCCACTAAGGATATAAAAAGCTTGTTGATTGAAAACTTATGCCAAAACATGCCTCCTCTGAGAACAGAGAGTGACAAGTGGGACCTCTGGTATTCAGCTGAACTCTACCTGGATGTGGATATGCAGGCCTCAGGGCGAGAACTAGATAAAGAACATACTGTATTCTATCCTTACCCTATTTGGCTGGCCGATTTCCTGGTAAACTGACGTATGTCTGAAAATGGGTTTGCTTATCTAAAACACAAACACTTGAACTGTAATTTGTTTAAAATTTTGGTTAATTTACATTTCCAATTCAAAAGCACTACATACTTCACTGAAAAAAAAAGAAAGTTCAGAAAAGTGAGTTTAAAAATAAATCAATCTTCCTACCAAAATCGATCACTGTGGTATATTTCTTTTCTTGTTTTGGTTTTTTTTGAGACAGACTGTGCAGTTCAGACTGGTCTTAAAGTCACTATGTAGCCCAGGTTGGCCTTGAACTCGAAGAAACCTTCCTGCCTCAGTCTATGTTGTGTTATATTTCTTTAAACATTTCCTTTATAAATGAGTTGCACTGTTTTCTACTTTCATGATTTTTGGGGATTGTACTTGAAAGTACAGCTATGGAGCTAGGCATGGTGGTGCATGCTTGTAATCATAGCATTTGGGAGTCTCAAAAAAACTCCCCAAAAATGAACAAAACAAAACAAAACTCATTCTTCCTACATTTTTTACTAATGATTCTCTAGAACCCTATCTCCCTACTATAGTTCAGAAAGAATTATATCATCCAGCCAATCATTCTTTTGAACTTTATAGACTTTATAATATACTGTCTTATGAATCTATTATATTTATACATTATATGTTTTAGCAAAATTTTTCGACTATAAATATATGGTTATTTTGGAAAATTAAAAAGTATAAAGCAAAAATAAAGATCACATATATTTTTAGCTGGTCACAATTACTGTAAACGTTTTAGAACTTTTTCTGTGTAAGTATTTACATGTAACTAAGAATAACTTGTTTTGTGTTTTCTCCCATTTAACATTATGTAAGTTTTCAATGTTACATTGCACTGTTCATGAAGTACCGAAATTGCTTCTTAAAATCTTACACTGTTATTTTGGTATTTTAATTTCTTTCAGTCTCTTATCTAGAGTGTAAGTTTTTACAGCACAGACAACTGCATCTTTTTAAAACATTTCTCCTCAAATTCTGCCTTCATGGAGAGTGAGTAAATAGCTGCCAAAAGGTCCCTTTCTTGTCTCTCCCACTCTACTTTTAGGCCAAGGCACTGGAGAGGAGTTTACCGTAGTGGATGTCACTGTTTGAGTGTCATATAACATTTCATAGGAATCTCTCTCTAGAAGATTTTAATACTTTCAAAACAATATTATTGTCTGGATACACTGAATTTCTAGCTACACGCAAGAGATAAACCCAATTGGAAACTTGTAACAAGCAAAGGCACATAATGCATTCAATCTCACAGACTAATTTCTTATTTCTTCTTGTGCTAATATATCACCTGGATATATAAAAACAAAGATTTTCAAGGAGATATTTTGTGAGGGTGATGGAGACCACTGTGAAGCAGCCCTGAGCAGGACTTAAATTAACCAACTGGTTTTTTATGTTTATTTGTGAATTTGTCCAAAACCTAGGCTGCTAGTCTGGAAGTGGGTGACGGATTCACAGTAAGTGAACCTCTGTGAGTCACTAATCCCTATTAAAACCTGTAGTGGAGGATGAAGCTGGCAAACCTCAAAGGAAAAGATCATAGCCAAGGACACCTGGATCTAACCTCAACTAGAAAAAGACTGTAGCCTCAAGCATCTCACTCTTGGGTGGATTAATTTAATACCTTACTTGGAGAAGTCCTTGAGTGGTTCTGCCCTTCTTGAGTATTCCCATCCCTGCTTCTGGTAACTAAATAATACAAGCCAGGGATATAGTTCAGCGGCACAAGTACCTGCCTGGCAAGTATAAGGTTCTGAGTTTGATTCCTGGTACCAAAAAAAACAAACAAAAAACAAAACAAAACAAAAAAAACCCCAAACAATTTTGGCCGGGGATGTAGCTCAGGGCATAAGTGCTTGCCTGGCAAGCCTGAGGCCATGAGTTCGATTCCTGGTACAAAAAAAAAAAAAACCTAAATAATACAGGCCACCCAGAGAAAGTCTTGGTCTTAGCCCTGAGAGAATCTCGAATTCTGTGAGAGGGCTTTGATCCTCCTGGAGCCCTGAAATCATTCCATTTGCCTCTTTTTATGTAGCCTTCCCTGTAGCTTCACTGAGCTTGCGGACCTGATCACCCTGCAATAACTAAGGGATATTATTAACCTGATAGTTGGGGAAGTCTTAAATTTTCTATATTTTAGTAATTGTGAAGCACTAGCATAATGCTAGTTATATAATGCTATTTTATCTTTTTATGGTGCTGGGGACTGATCCTAGGGCCTATACCACTGAGTTACAGTTCAGGCCCCTGTAATGCTATTGTAAGTATTAAAAGCCAAGTCTATAAATAGACTAAATTCTCTATTTCTTTTGTGGTACCAGGGATTGAACCCAGAGCCCTCACACTGACTTATATCCCTAGCCCTTTTTATTTTGAGACAGCACGTAGACTAAGTTGCCTAGGTGGGACCTGAATTGTGATTCTCCTGCCTTGGCCTCCTACAGTTCTAAGATTATTGGTATACATTACTGTGCCTGGCTTAAATTGTCTTTTAACTGGACTCATACACTGTTTTCTTTAGGATTCACTAGCATATACTTTATTCTTTTTTTTTTTTTTTTTTTAAACACTACTAGAGATCAAACCCAAGGCTCCTGCACTGAGCTATATCCCTACTGCTTTTTCTTTTGAGGGGGGTACCAGGAATTGAATCCAGGACCTTGCATTTGCCAAGCAGCTGCTTGTACCACTGAGTTATATCCCTGGCCCCACTACCCATTTCTTGACATAGGGTCTTACTTCTTGCTAAGTCACTAAACTGTTTAGGTTGGGCTCAAAATTGTGGCTTTATAGGTAAACCTATGAACAAAATATTAACCAAAAATTCTTCATCATTTAAGATTTGGCCTCTTTTAATGAAAAGAAGTACGTATCCATTCTAACACTACCAGTCACTTTAACTTGAGTCAAAGTGAACCAGCTTAATAATCTGTCATATAGAGCTGGGTGTGGTGGTGCATGTCTGTAATGGGAGGCTGAGGCAGGAGGATAGTTCCAAGTTCAAGACCAGCCTGGGCTACAAAGCGAGCTCAAGGCCAGCCTGAACTGCATAGCGAGACCCTGTCTCAAAAAGACAAAAAAAAAATCTGTCACATAATAGGCAAAAATGAACTGTTTGGTTTATTTCAACCAAATAAATTGTTTGGTTTCAATTATTTGGTTCTTAGCATAAAGTATGTTTTCATCTTACCTGTAATAGAGTTGACAACAGAACGTAGAATTGTTGGTGGTTTGATGAGTTCTTTTAAAATGTTAGATTCAGTAGCCAGTGGGAATCCATTGTCCAACATTTCTTCCAAGAGCTCATATACTATGACCACATTGTCCTTAATTGCAGCCTCTGAACACTCGCCAAAATAGTCCTAACACAATATTAATAACAGTGCAGAGCAGAAGGCATGAAGAAGGGTTTGCTAAATACTTTTCATTCTGAAGAACAAACTTACAAAGTTAAAAATATGTGAAACAGGTGAGAAATAAAAACTCTGTGTATACTCTTGACACTACTCTTCAGTATTTTCTTGTTTGTTTGTTTTTTGAGACAGGGTCTCACTATGTAGCTCAGGCTGGCCTTGAACTCACTATGTAGACCAAGCTGGCCTCAAACTCATGACACAGCTCCTGCCTCAGCTTCCCAAATGCTGGGATTACAGGTATGCACTGCCATGCTCAACTTTTTAAAAGTATTTTTAGATTGAACTGAATTCCCATTATATATTATGCCAGAAGGTAATGAAGTATTAAACTGGAATGTGAGCTATCAACTTCACTTGCCCTGATTAACCTATCCCAAAACACATATAAGTTTGAACTACTTAACAGTTTACCACAGTGTCACTCAGGCTATTATATCCTGATTATCCCAAGGGTTGCTCAGGTAGGTGCCATTTCAGCCAGTTGATTCTTGTACTGAATAAATCTGATAAACTTGTAGTTTTTAATTTTCCTGTCATATTATAAAAATCAAACAAAAAAATAGCAAGTTTTGGTCATCCTGTATTTAAATAACTGAACTGGTAAGTGGTTAAATTACATGTATGGTATAGTCAGTAAGATAAGAGAAAAAAATTAAATGTAAGCATATAAGAGTTCATAATCAAATTTTAAGACTTTCCAGAGAACAATACATGGAAGACACTGTTCTTGATGGTACAGTTTATAAGACATTAAAAAATAAAACTGAACCAAGTAGCTTAGTATACTACATAGAAAAAGGTTTATGAATTTATGCTTAGAGTGAGAGAGAAGAAGAAGAAATATATTACTAGCTGGTTAAGACTATAATCATGTGTCTCCATCCAGCTAACTTGAGTGAGTTAGAAAAGGCTAATGGGTAACCAACCTGGAAAGTGTCAGCAACTCGGTGCAGGAATTCAATTACAAAGAGAGGTGGCACTTCTGTCTGTATGACAGACACAAAGAAGAGCTTATCCCGGTAGATACTGATGAGGTAGTGGTGAGGTGTTGAAATGACAGGTGGTACATTTTCAACATCAGCAGCTTTCTCCTGAGCTTCAAAGAAATAATCACAGACAGACTGGCTCACAACACTTTTCCAGTGCTTCTCTAGGAATATGTCACCAGAACAGTTGATGAGAAAGAGACTGTGGATCATTTTCTGTGTGGGGAAAAAAAGGTTTGCATTTATTCTATATCAAAAGATATTCTTAGATTATACTGACAAAAAAATCAGACAAAAGCAATACAAGTAACGTGCATGATCAATATCATGCAAGAATACAGATATAAAAATCCTTGACAAAATACTAGTAAAACAAATCTGCCAACATATAAAGGTTTATTCCAAAAATGTACAGTTGGTTTACTATAGAAAACTCAATCAATGTAATATACACTATTATTAATAAAAGACTAAAAACAAATGGTCATTTCAAACATTGCAGGAAAAGCATTTGACAAAATCCAACACTCTTTTATGAAAAAAAAAAAAAAAAGTCAGGCTAAGACTATAAAGAAACTTCCTCAATGTGATAAACAGCATCTATCAAAATCTCACAGTTAACATCATGATGTTAACACTTTCTTTATAAAAACAAAAACAAATAAGGAAGCTGGGCATGGTAGCACACATCTGTAATTGCAGCACTCTGGGAGGCTGAGGCAGGGAGATAGTAAGTTTGAGTCCAGCCTGGGCAACTTATCAAGACCCTGTCTCAATAAAAAAAATGGACTGAGGATACAGCTAAGTGTGATGCCCTTGGTTCAATCCTCAGTACTGCATTAAAAACACAAACAAAACAAAATGTCTACTTTCATTATTCTTATTCACCATGGTACTGGGGTCCTAGCCAGTGCAGTTAAGTAAGAAAATGAAACATCAGGGTCCATTGGAAGGAAGAAATAAAACTATCTCTGTATCCAGAGGATACAATCTTGTTACACAGAGAATCTGAAGGAATTCACAAACAAAACACAATACTCTGTTAGAGCTAATAAGTGAGTTCAACAAAATTATTGGATAAAAGATTAATATAAAAAGAACAACTATATTTCTAAACACCTCCAGTAGTTTAACAATGCAATTAAGAGAACAATTTGATTTACAATAGCATCAAAAAGGTTCAAATACATAGGAAATAAATTTAAGAAAAGTACAAGACTTGCAGACTTAATGTTTAAAAAGTCCTTGAAAGAAATTAAAAATATTGAAGAAATGGAAAGATATTTGAAAAAAAAAATTTTTTTTTTTTTGTCTTTTTGAGACAGGGTCTCACTCTGCAGTTCAGGCTGGCCTTGAGTTCACTTTGTAGCCCAGGCTGGCCTTGAACTTGTAGCAATCCTTGATCCTCCTGCCTCCTGCTTCTCCAGTGCTGACTACAGGCATGCACTACCATGCCTGGCTTGAAGATTTAATATTGTAATGGCAGTGCTCCCCAAATTGACATAGATTCATTAAAATCCTAGATGACATTTTTGGGTGGATAATTAGCAATCTAATACTAAAATTCAAATGGAAATGAAAGAGACCAAGAACAGTGCAAACAACTGAAAAACAATGTTGAAGGATTCATATTAGCAGATTTCAAAACTTACTGCAAGATTACCAAATGGTACTGGGTCATGGATTTATAGATAAATCGAACAGAACTGAGAGCTGCACAATTCACCCTTACATTTATGGTCAAATGATTTTCCACTAGGAGTCAAAGGCATTCACTTGGAAAGAGTCTTTTCATGAAATGGTGCGGAGACAATTGGATTTCTACATCCAAAAGAAAGAAACTAGATCTCCACCTCATAATCTATACAAAAAATAATATAAACTATATCAAAGACATAAATGTAAGAGCTAAGCCTGTAAAACTTAGGAAAAAAACTGAATTGCTCTTTATTACCTTGTGCTAGACTATGTTTTCTAAAGACATGACACCAACAGCACAAGCAAGCAAAAGAAAACAATAGCTGTGACACGTGCCTGTAATCCCTGAATTTCAGGAAGTTTGGGGCAAGAGGACCGCAAATTGAACACAGCCTATCTCAAAATAAAAAT